ATATATATATATATATATATATATATAGACCTACCATTATTGCTGGTCCTGGAGGCCTACATCCACTCTTTAAGCTGCTCTTGAAATCTGCTCCATTCTTCTCTATATAGATAGATATATATATCTATCTATATATAGATATATAAATCTATATCTATATATCTAGATCTATATATCTAGATAGATATATCTATATCTATCTAGATATATATATAGATATACACACACACACACACACACACACACACACACACACACACACACACACACACACACACACACACACACTACTTTAAGAAATGAGACATGCTCAGACTTTCTTTTCTTGCGGACGTGACGCAATTCTTGCGGGAAACTGCTGCGAACGATGTGTGCGCTGTAGATTGGTCGTGTGACTCTCAAACTCTTGTTCCAACGTAAGTTTTATACAGTTAAGCATTACAAATCTTGTGAGCTTGGTGAACTACAACATATATTAACACTTTCTTTACTTCCAAGCATAGAATGAAAGCGAGACTACGAGTGCGGCGAGTGTACAAGTGGCAAGGAGAACCCTTGAGGTTCGACAGGAAGCTGAAAAACTTTGAATATGGGTAAGGACTTGTCTTCTACAAATATTCTATTTATTGAAATATTCGAGATTCAACGTTAAATACATTTGTAATGGATCCGAACATAGTTCTCTGTTCGTGAGAGAGCACGAAACCGAATTCGAGCAGCGACATTATTGTAGGAATTCTTAGGATGTATTGCAATTCTACACATAACTCGCATTTTGGGGGACCTAAAATTGGATGCTCGTCATGCACAGTGGCCAAGATTAAAACATTTTTGGCTTTGGGGTGAGGGTGAAATTTTGATAAAATTGTGCCCCAGAACCTTCTTAAGAACAGTAGCAAGTTACAGTTCTGCTAAATTATCAGTTGACGCATTGTGTACATACTTACTGTATTTCAGAATAGTTCAAGACCATTAATTGGAACAGAAATGTCAATATTTTAATTGAGTATGATAATGTAGGAGTACCATTATGTCTTTTTGGCTCTCGGAATCGCTAAAAGACCAGCGATCTGTGAACAAAGCGTTCGGGGCGGAACAGACGGATTCATGAGATAGGCAGGTGCACAGCCATGTAATAGTTTAGTAAGTAGCAAAAGTTTGAAATAGCAAAGTTGGCTAGTATAGGGGGGATTGTGATCGAACTTCGCCCTCTTCATAAGTCTCGCTGCAGCATTTTGTAATAACTCCAAGCTTTTAACATTGGACATGGGAAGACCAGTGAGCAATACTTTGCAATAATAAAGGCGGAACATAGCAAAAGTATGAATTGTAATTTCTGCGTCACCAGGAGATAAAATGGAACGTATCTAAGTGATATTGCAAAGGTGAAAAAAACGCAGTTGTAGCTTTACAATGGCATCTCTACTTGCGAAATTAATTGTTTCTGAAAGAAGTTTCTTAACTAATAGAGATGTGTTTTTCTTAAAAATGCCCTAATTCGTTCCAAACCCCCCCAAAATTCAGACATAAATATTTCCTAAAGCATAAAAATGCATCAAAATATGTTACAATTATATTATTGCACAATAAATGAGAGTTGTGAATAATATAAAAAACAAAGAATAGAGTAAAGAAGAAAAATGATGGTCATTTGACTTTTAACTGTGTCCTCATCGTTTTTTGCCCTCTTTAGTTCATGTTCTCTCTCAGAAGTAGTTTTTGCCTCGCGTTTTGTAAAGAACTGATCCAAGGACGGTTGCTTTTGTTGACATTTAACAATCCTTCGAAAATGTCCAAGGCAAACATCAGCATAGTGAGTGCTTGTCTGACTGGTGAACACTTTTTCTGGGTGATTCACATTTACATTAAACTATCGAATAGCCTCATGGCCCGAGAGACGAATGACGAGGACGCTGCATAGACACATATCTATCTTTGTAGCTGTCTATACACACAGACACCAACGGTAGAGGTCCCTCTTAGCCAATGGGATGCCAGAAAGATTCTAGGTAGTAGAATAAGAAAAAGAATAATAATAAGAAAAAAACTTTATTTGTCACACAATGGAGACATTTGCAATGTACAGCAGCAAAAATGATGAGAAGGAGAAAGTAGAAAAATAAAAGAAGTATTGCATGCACTAAAACCTATTTAAAAAATGAACTGTACAGAGTGAAATATAAAATATAAGCATATATGCACCTATGCATAAAAACCAATGGCAGAGCAGCTATAAGTATGTTGCGTTCAGGAAACTTGGAGCTGCGAGCAGCAGCCCATCTTGTATTTTTACCTTTTGTATCTTGAAATTTCTTTCGGAACAAGAGGCAATATTTTCCTGTTGAGGCGTTTCGTAACTTGAAAATTTTGTATGAAGAGACATTTGTAAGTAGAAGTACCACTGGACTGTTGCTCACCTAAAAATTTGCTGTTTCATTACCAATGTAATGAAAATACCGTTCTTGTATGTCCACTCCAGTTGAGAAATACCTGACCAGTAGTTCATGTGAATGAATATGTAGGACTCTCCAGTATTTCAAGCTCACAATGTCTTTCTGTCTCAGCTCTTTGATCATCAGTGTGGAGGGTCTACCCAGGCGCAACATCATAAACACTGGACACTGCATTCTTATTGAGGGTGAAGATGAAGACAACCCTTATGTGGCCAAAGTTATCAAGCTTTTTGGGGATGGTGAGTATGGAAATTAAGTCAATTTAAAGCACAGGAGAGGGTCATTCGATGCACTGCATAGTCTTGGCATCTTGCATTCCGAATTGTTTCATGATTGCTACCAACTAAGAAAGGATAGATTGAAAGTGTGGAAATGCAATGTTTGATTGTTAATAACTATTCCCCTCCGCCCCCACCCCAAAAAAAAATTGTCTTTAATTTCTGAGAAAGAGAGATAACATAAAGCAGTGTTGGGTTGATAGCAGTGTCAGTTGCAGAACATCCACATTTTTTGTATATTTTTAAAACAGTGACTTCGAGCAGTGCTTTTCAGACCCTGTGCCGCGGCACGATATTGTCAGGTGTGCCGTGGGAAATTATCCAATATGTATGCCTCTGTGGTCAATCGCCTGACATTGTAATCGTATAGTAATCTTCCATACCGGTAAGTAGCAGCAGCAGCAGCCAGCTAATTGCCTTATGCTTCGAGACAAGCGAAGTTTCCAGCAGGAGGCAATACAACGAAAGATATCTTTCATTTAGATTTACTTTTACCGGAGATGCAATGGCATCAAAGTTCCCTCTAAGCTGCGCAACTGCGCACTGGTCACACACTCTCAGCACACAAGAAAACATGTCCAGCGCAGTGAACGCACTGCAAATAAATTAGATATATCACTTTTTTTTTCTGTATCAATTTGCTGTGTATTTCAGTGAGTGACAGGTGTCCAGCTAATCACACGATACAATGCAATGACGCTATGCAGCCAATCACGGCATTGACAGTACTTGCGATGTTCTGTGCTCCATAACAATAACAGTGCAGCGGTGATAAGTGACGCTAATGCTAATACTTTATCATGGCGAAACGACTGGGCAGTGAACGTGATACGTCGACTCCCCAAACATAAATAAGAATGAACTGCGGTTTTTTTAAGTTGGAATGGCTGTCGCAGTATGTGCAAATAGAAGAACAAGCAGTGAAACTGGGTGAGATCTTTTCTTTTTTGAGTGAGAAATGTCTGCTCTCAAAAACAAAATTATTCGTGCAACGGAGTATTGAACATAATGGTTGGACGGTTGGCCCTGTCTGGACTTATCATTTAAATTGAAACCCCTCTTCAATTATATAACTAGAAGCTGTGACAGTTTGAAGTTCTTGTGACCTGTGTTTGGAGCCAATCAAGCCTCCTTTTTTTGTCTCAGAGGGCGGGATGCAGAAGAAGGCAATAGTCCAATGGTTTGTTCGTGCCTCTGAAGTACCTGTGAGCAAGCTGCCGCTGCTCGGAAGAAAGCCGCATCCACAGGAGATCTTTTACTATCAGGGTCGAGGCTGTAATGAAGAGGTCAATGCGGAGTCCATACTCAGACCGGTGCAGGTAAAGAATTTGTTTTCTCATCAGGGACCACATTTGTCCATCAATTTTCATCTGCTTATCCATGAATCACGTTGGCAGCAGTCTAACAAATATTCACCCAAAAACTCAACTCAATTGTATTGATAGAGCAGTGGTCCCCCCCACCCCCCCGCATGACTATAAATAGTATCATTTGTCGATAAAATTGTTATAAGTACACCTTTGCATAACACTGCATCCTTATTAACGTATAAGAAAATAAAAAAAGAAAGAAATATGGAACAACTTTATGGACCAACTTTCAACAAAGAATAGCTTTAGTAAGTGGAACAGAAAATATTTAAAGTGCATCTGAAATTCAAAAATAACATTAAATCCTGAATTTAACAATAAATATTTTTTGACTGACCATATCAAACCATATGATACTGAAAAATAAAATGACATAAAATCGATAACTAATAATGCATTCAAACTAATCACCAACATTATCTCAGGAGCACAATATTTAAAAAAAAAAAACTTTAACCAGAAAAACAAAAATAGAAGAATCTGTGCTTTTTTTTTTATTTTTTTTTTTTTTATTTTTTATTAAATCAAAGATGATGTCTGGATTAATGGCTACAATGAGCACGTTTTGCAATACACAGCTTTTCGAAGCGAGGTTTGAAGCAGGACACAGCAACTCTCGGCTCTGCTCAATGTGTAGCTGGGACCTGTATTTTAGTTTACTGAAGTAGCAGTCGCAAAGCGGCATGATTGTTGGCAATATTCGGCACGTTTTCGCTGAAAAAAACTCAAGCATCATATCTGCGTGATTGGGGTGTAATGTCTTTAAGTGACGCCTTCATTTATTTGGCTTCATGCTGTCCGCTACCAAAATGTTTAGACACAGTAAGCACATCGATCTTTCCTCGTCTGCCACCTCAGTCACATTGAAGCCAAGCGCTAAATACGAGTGATGTGTCGTTCGTGAACGAACCGGCTCCGAGAGCCGGCTCTTTTAAGTGAATGACGAGAGCCGGTTCCTAATAGGGAGCCGCTGCTAATAGGAGCCGACTTTTTTTTGTACTGTATATTTTTTACATTAGTAATTCATTTTACACATAATTTTACATTATTTTTGGTAGTAAATTAATTTAAGCAACAAAAAAACTGCGCAGCCATTTGGGAGCCAAAAGAGCCGGCTCTTTTTAGTGAGCCGAGCCAAAAGAACCGGCTCTCTAAAAAGAGCCGGAATTCCCATCACTACTACATACGTCTCGTCATATTTCCTCCCTCAGAATGCTCCCTGCGCAAACTCTGCCAATGAGAGCACCACTGCCCCCTAACGTAGTGGAGGTGCAACTGCATGTTATTTTCGGACTAAAAAAATAAAAAAAGCATGTTCCCCAAGGTCAAATGCGCCCCCCTTGACGGAGCCTCGCGCCCCACCAGGGGGGCGCGCCCCACTATTTGAGAAACACTGTGATAGAGCAACCACCGCTGTATACAAAGTGCTGTACATGGAGCAAAAATAAGTCGTCCAACAACAAATGACAAAACAGTCAATTATAATTGAAGGCAGTAAAAAGCACAAAAATAGGAAAACCATAATCAAATCTCATGCTGAGTACAGATGAGTTAACGTTTTCAAGATGGGCAGCGAGGGGGCTTCCTTAACGTTAAGTGTGACGTCATTCCAACGAGAGGGACCGGCAATGGAAAAGACTCGATCCCCTCTGAGCCATCGCTTAGTCCTTGGTACCTCTAATAGCATCCGCGTTGTAGACCTGAGGCAGGTGCGTAGGGGTTGAGGAGCTCAGAGAGGTAAGTTGGGGTGAGACCATTTCAAGATTTGAAAACAAATAAGAGAATCTTAAAAAGAACTCTAAAATGTACAGGAAGCTACTGAAGAGACGCCAGAGCGGGAATTATGCGCTCGCTCTTAGAAATGCTAGTCAAGAGGTGAGCAGCTGCATTTTGGAACAACTGGAGAGCTTTATCAAAACTATGAACTTGAGTTTATAAATTATTAATTTTACACTTTCGCTGGAGACCTTTATTTTTTTGAAAACCTCAAATTCACGCGTGAGTGTTTGCGTATTTGCACTGAGCTTCCACTGATGGGCTAACCTGCTGTGGAGACAGACAAACGCAGAGCAATTATTAGCGAACTGCCAGGCTTCCTGTTCTGGATGGGTTGTAACTGGGAAAGTAAATTCCTTTTGTGTTTTACATATAAACCTGAGTCTGATTTTGCAACCCAATTGAGATTAGTAGCAGGTAGGCCACAATCTGTTTACAATGTGCCTGTTGTGGACACAGTCGTGTGTTACTGCAGATGAAAACACGCTCGCTTGGTATAGAAAATACATGTTCATATTAGCTGTTTAGTAACATTTGAGTTGAGCCCTGTTTAGTTATTTGATTTGTCAATGTTGGTAATAAATGTATGTACTGAAGATAAAGATGTACCAAAAACTGAAATAAAGTCGAAGATTCAAGAGGGTAACACACCAGCGCACTACTCGCGATCTTGAATTAAAAAAAAAAAAAAATTTAAAGTTCATGGAAGTTAGTTAATGGAATTTGGAAGTTGTTTCATCATAATGTCACTCGGCTTATGTATAAATTAATTGAAATAGTCTTGTTGCTCTTTTCACTCATAGGTGAAGCAACTTGATGGTCCAGCTGCATTCCCAGACTCCAGTGATAAAGACACACTCTATGTTAAGTTGTCCTGGGACACGAAGACTTTCAAGATGGTAGACTCAGCTCTGTTGTCACCCTCCACCCCTCTTTGCTGTCCCAAAGCTTGCCACCCCAATTCATCTCCAAGCTCACTGCCTTCAGGCACTCCTGCATCTCGAAGAGTGAAACAACGAGCCTTGCCTACACCTGACCCCGCTGTGATACAACAGGCAGCTTCAGCAGATCACAGACATACCGAAGCCACTACGAGCCCTGGAAAGGATGGTGGCCTGAACGCAGAGTCACTGGACTCAAAAATCAAACTGTCAGCTTCAAAATGTCTTGGCACCAAGAGAAAGAATGCGTCAGCCAGGACACCGGGAGTCCGCAAACGGTTGGAGCTCCACAGTGAGTAGTTTGCTCTTTAATAATATGGAACGTTATATGGGTTACAGAAAATACTCAATTATTGGGGAATTTTTTTAAATAACTGTGCTTAGGCCTGAGTCATATATCCCTTTGTTTTTTTTTGTTTTGTTTTTTAAGAAAATTTTTTTGTTGTGAAAGATTTTTTTCAAATTAGTAATAAAAATAGCCTTGAGCCCCCACGGCCTTACGTAACTTCGACCCTCTCCCTTGTTTCCATCACACTCGAGGCAACTTGGGTACATTTAAGAGAGCAAAACTTTTGTTCCCACGAAAGGAGTTGTGTCGTCAGTGGTTTGGAACTGGTTTGGTTTTGCAGCTAGAAATGTGCCCGAAGTGCATGTTGCAGTGGTTTGTAGAGGGAATCGGAAACGCTCTGTGGAGGAGGTTACAGAATTGAGGAGTGTAGAGAGGTGAAAGATAAGGATAAATGTGGAGGACAGCACAGAGCAACATACAGTATGAAGAGTGTGAAGTAATAACAGTTTCGCTGAAGCAGTAAAGAATGTTCAACAAATAGAAAGGACTGAAGTTCGACAAGTCAGTCAACGATTGAAGAGAATTGGATCAGAGCATGTGGATCAGCTTTGGCGTAGAAAAATAAGTAGTGTGTTTCCAGTAACCCGACCGACCGAGAATTTCTACATTGAAAAAAAACTTGACGTCGGCATTTTTTTCAAACAACCCTCTACATTTTTGTGTAGAGGGTTTACATCGGTGCAAACCTTCGCGATATTCACGTTGAGCGTGTGCGTTGTTTGCCCTGTCGTCTGTCAACAACATTGAAACATAGCGGCGGCCGCGATCTCTGACGACAGTTTAAACCGCGTTTTCTGTGTTACAATCGCATGCTCGCACTGTAATGTTAAGAAAATAGCATCCATTGATGTATCGAAAAAATTCAGCGAACTATTTGATGAACACCACGG